GACCCACAAGGCAGTGGTGGTTTGGAGGTTTGCTTGAGGGACTCCGCCGGAGCCTTTGGCTCAATAGCCTGACCCACAAGGCAGTGGGAGCAGATCCAGCTCGGGAATGTGATTGCAGAGACAGATTGGGATCTGCTTGACGGCCGTCACACGCAGCCTTTGAGGTACTGGAACGATTTATATATGTTTTGCGACCGTAGTAGGATACGCACCTGCGACCACGGCCAGACGCAGGAGGGTTTTGGTGGGTTTGCACCAATTTGACCAGGGGCTGCCTGGCTTGAGGCGGGCAGTAGCAAACCATTGAACACCCGGAGGTGCCCTCCCACCGTCAGAGACAATGCGTGGCACTCGTGCTCTACGCCAATCGAGCTGTGAGCTTATAACCCGTAGACCTGTTGTCTCCCATGGCTAGGTTTTACGGGAAGAGGGCATCGACCACTTCCTAACCTCCGAAGAGGATGGCAAAGATACTGGTAAGGCGCCCACAGCTGACAGGCGAACGACTTGGGTCCTCAGCCAAAGCCTCCGATTAAATGTACACCGATAATGCAGCGCGTCTAGCACACGGTCAGTTCACTGACTCATGCGGATTGGTGTCCTGGATATTAGCAGGGAGAAGGGCGTAACCCAACTTCCACAGAGCGGTCGACACGTGCAAGCGTCCAGGACATGAGCCAATGGCACAACAGTAGCAGCAGTGGGTAGACCATCTGTCAGGATCTATCCAACACCAACCCCTACATACCATGGGCTCCTCCGCCCGATATATATATATATATATATATATATATATATATATGTGCAACGGTCTATACAATAGGCACCGGGTCATCGAGAAACCATGGATTGCATATGTGGAATAAGTAGAGCGATCACAAAATGGAAAGCACATATTTTTTGTGTTTTCCACAAGCCATTTTGTCTTTTTTTCAGTTTAGTGATTACGGTGTGGATCAGTAGAATCAGTGCATAGTCTCATGGAAACATTTCATTGTCCACGATTACGTGCCATGTCCTCATTAGTCTTCAACGAGCGATGTTCTTGATCTCTGATTATCCAGCCCGGAAGAATCATGGGACCGAGAACAGCCAGGCTGGAAGTTAGCATCCGGAGGTTTTGTCACCATGTGTTAAGTTGGCCACCGCGCGCGTTCTTCCATTGCGGCCCTACGCAAATGCATAGAGCTCGCCATGAGAAACCCTCGCAAGGCATCCGTAGGACGTAACTTAGCCACCCTAGTTGGCGCAGCGATATTAGCTTGTCGAGAGGTAGGCCCGTATTACCTAGGACGCGATGTCTAACATCGAGGTTGCACACGTGGTGTTCCCATCACGCACGAGCTATCCTCCGCAGACAAGCGTTGTCAAAAGCCGAACTCGTACGCAAGTCATTTACACGGATAGGCCAGGACTCGGTTCCATACATTAGGACCGCCCGAACACAGGCATCGTAGACCTTGCCCTTTGCGGAGAGTCCAACATCACGACGACGCCACAGATGCCACAGTTCAGTGAAAGCTGATCGCGGTTTGACAATACGGAGAGGAATCTCTCTTGCAATAATGGCATCGGAAGAAACCTAGCTCCCAAGTTAGATGAAGCTAGCTACCTGTTCAAGCTGCGCCTTCAAAAATCAGCACGAAGGCATGTGGATGCCAATCCTAGAGTACGGTCTTGCATTTCCATGGATCAGTTCCCGTTGAAAACAGCCTGTAGTAGAAGCAAAACAGGGACTCTTGCCAAGATTATATGTAATCCATGTCCGCAATCTTTGTTCCCCATTTCGCAGGTTCCGAACATCCAGTTCGTAGTTAGCTTTCTAGCTTCAACTTTGGTATTCGTTCCAGGTCGCGCTACTTCTGTGAATTCGTGCTCAAGATGCCGCACAACAATAGATCCCAGCCGGACAAGCATAGTGCGAATTTTACAGCCAATCTTAACACGCTACGTATCGACATTGGTAAAATCGGTTGATATGCGTGTTATTGTGCCCGGTACTGATCGCCTTTCCAGTTCCGCAAATTCGCGCGTATCTACTGCATCAGCACTATTGACATCTCCAGCTGCATAAATGTTGTCCATGTCGCTTTCTGTTGCCCGGTTATCCACGTATGCCGCCCTTATCGCGTGCTGCCATAGACTCAATTGCCTACGCTTCTGAGATCGACGAATTGCTCTGTGCAAGGCACAATGTCAGTATTACGGTGAGATCTATGTAGATCGGATAGGAGGAAGACTGCCAACAGCGATAAAGCATCAGAGGAAAACCTACAAAAAGCACTATGCTTACTTGAGTTTAGTAAGATTCAAAACCAATCGGTTGGTATATATATGGACAAGGATTCATTTTTTACACAAAAGCTTCGTCAGGCCAAGTGAGTCAGTATACAATAATAGCGGCATTTCGTAGTGAACAGGAGCGATAGTCGCAATAGCAGTGACAGAATCCAAGGTGTTATTACAGTCATAGTTCGGTTGCGATTATCGTCCCTCTTCGCTATAAAATGCGACACCAATCACCCGCTGGTTCACTTGACCTGACGAAGCCCTTGTGTTAAAAGCGAATCGTTGCCTAACAAATACGCCGACCGATTGTCTTCAAATGTCTCTGAACTCACAACTTCTCAATCGGTTCCAAGTGTCTTCCAGGTTTTCACTACGCTCTCTCCGTTCGCAGTACAAGTGGACGAAAAAGGATTTAATTTTCTTTGAAACACACGAAAATCCTGACACATTGGCATATATAAAAGGTGGAAACCTCCTCAAATCATGGTACTCCATGAAGAAGTCAACACATATGCGCGTCGGTAGCGATCAAGTTATGTCGAAATCTCCGATGGAAAGAAATCAGTCTGGTCAAAATTTATTGCACCCAGCCAACTAGGTATGTAGTAGGAAAACTTGCGGAAAAGCGCGGGGAAGCGCAGGCTACGTATCTTGCGCGCGAAGCACTAATGAAGTTGCGACGGATCCTCCAAATCTGCAGCACGATTCTTATGATTAACTATACTTACTGAAGTCTACCAGAGAGCTCAAATGACTAAGTAACCTGGCTGCCCTACGTGTACTAACATACTAAATGTGTGGGAAGGTCAGGATACGTATGGACCAACATCTACTATTAATATTGTAAAGGTTGTAAGCTTGGTGATGAAATATTTATTCAATCCAACTACCAATCTCGGCGAATGTCAACACGTTAACGGCGAACCTGAGCTACCAATGGTTCGAGTCCACTTCGTCGAGTTCACCAGCAAGATAGCTTAGGTAGACAGCTTAGAGGTTCTCCGTCGTTGGGAAAGGATAGACCAGCACGTTTAAAACCAAGTATAATGAGCAGTTGTCTTATAGCTGTTTCGGCTAGTAACTGGGTTGCGAAAACGGTATTCCTACTGATCTAAACCGGTGCAGTTATTCGCCATTCCAACGAAACTTCTTAGGAGTGCATTTGTTCATATATCGCACTAATGCTATTCGTGCTCACTTTATCATTGCCTGTTTGGCTTAGGTTAGCTGGGTGTTTCGCCTCACTAACTGTAACGACATGACAATGGTAGTAGGGTTAATGAAAAGACCACCGATTTCCTCAGTGGCTTTTGTATTAACCCAAATTGAAAGGAGAAAAACAAGTGGGCTAACCAATAAACAGTGGGTTTTCGCACAACCAACATTTTGACCGAGCTGGGATACTCCAGAAGCGGACCGAAAGCTGCGGTCTCCTACCTGTCCGCTTGAGTTGTGAACACTCACCGTGCGAGAAAACAGCATATTGACAAACGTCTATAAGAAAGCAGTTTTCGGTGCCAAAACAAACGAACAAGGTTTGAGAAGTAAGTTTCAAATTGGATGTAACGATAAGTGGTACATGTCAAGGCCAATGAAAACTACCTATAATGGACCGAGATGTTGAAGGTGGAATTCTTCAGCAATGTAAAAATGAGGCTATACAAATCACTCCAAGTGCATGCAGTTGCTAAAATCTGAATGTTCCGAAATTTGAACCATCGGCGCATCTTGTGCAAAACAGCACCACGTCAAAGCTCTGCTGATACTCCCTATCCAGTCAGAACCGATTGGCATGCAGAAAATAAATCAGAACACCCCCAGACTAGGATGAACGTTGGATCCAAAGCGGTTTGTGCATTGTCCTCGTGTGTGTGGTACAATTTGGAACAATGTAATAATGGTATGTTACGAGTAAAAATGCGGATGCTTAACAAGTCCCGTATGATGGTCAAAAAGAGAACCACAACATGGTGGATAGAAAACAAAGGGATAAAATGAACATCGTTTTTGTGGTTTGCTGTTCGTTTGTTGGGCTTCTGGGGGACGCTAATAATTTGTGTCTTTTATCCACCTATATACTAACAAAGGGACGGTTTTGGCCAAGTATGGGGATGAATGTTGACAACGAGCGGAACATCTGCACTGAATGAGCCTACTGCGCATCGAAGTGACAAGATTCCGTAACTTCTCTGTATGGCGCGTTAATACTTCAAACTTCAGTCGCAGAGGATTTGCTGTGAATTAAATCACTCATGTTAAAGTGAGGACCAGTCGGAACAACTGTTGTGACCAAGTAAAAGATTTGTTCATCGGGCCATCTTTATGGAACCCAATCAGGATACTTTCTTCGTTCATACCAGTCTGAAAGTGCTCCATTTGGTAGGTAGCAACTATTCGAAGATCTGTCTGTTAGGGATACTGTCTGAACTTTATGTTTTCATCTTGTCTTAGAGGTGAACCAGGGAGAGAAAACCAACGTGTACGAGTTGTTCAAACATAGTATCCTCCTCTTTTCTGTTTATCCTCTTGAATTCATGCTGGCTGATGACACATGGCCAAGTTTACCTAAGCTAATGGTACAGAGGTAAACGGAGTACCGTACGAAGGGAATACTCGGCTTCTGAGCTTAAAGAAAACACACAATCACAACACTTTTCGTTTCAGTTAGAACGTATGAGCAACATTTCTGTGGAAAAGTTTAACACACTTACCTCGATGGCAATGAATGTAATCCACGTCTGACAATGGAATCTCCAGGGATGGTAGGTGAACCAGCCTGGGAATGGGAATACACTATTTTTAATGTTACTGCATCTGCATGATGACACTCAATTCCAGGAAAGTAATTAAACTTCCTTAATCTAAGCGAGCGCAACCCGACACTAATGTGGGCGGGCAGATTTGGTCTCCGGCTTGTTGGCGCCAAGAGCTCAGGATGCAACTCAACAATGGACTGTTTGACTAGATAACTGTATCCAGTAATATAATCCTCGACCCGGAACCTATATTTCATGTGAAAAACTTGAACAGAACCTGTTTTTCACGATTCGATTGTGATATTTGATCAGGTCTACCACATGATCGGTGTCTGGCACTGACAGATATACATCTTGTTTACTTATTTACATACGTTCTATAGTGCTAAATATTTCTTCTTTTCCGGAGGTGACAAACCAGGAACCAATAGCAAGTCTCAGTGCTCGATGATATCAGATTCTGGGACAATAGAACAACGGTATATTATGGGTAAAAAAGTGGATGCTTTTTGTAAGTCCTGTATGATGGCCAGAAAGAGGACAACAACTTGGTGAATAGAAAACAAGGAGATAACATGAAAATCGTTTTGGTGAACTCACCACACAGTGTTCACACAGAGGCACGCAGAAAGGGCCAAAGTCAGTTATGTAGCTTTTTTTGTTTTACAACTATCGTCACATTATATCGTCTATCCAGACACACAGGCTATATCTCGTAATGTAAGTGGATTAACGCAAGGTAAAGGCGTTTTTTAAAAACAGGTAGAGTGGGGGCAGAAACAACTTAATTTGGGAGGTTGTTTTATGGTTGGCACACAAGAAGAGAGTAACAGCTTCGCCGACATACTCGCCGACTGTATTGTGTGGTTGACTTGAAATGATGTCCCTCAAGTCCGTATTGTGGCACAGTTGTAGTAGGTGGCGGCAGACGTGGTTGGGGTTTTTAGAATCTGGTAGGCCATAATAAGGTCGTGACGTAGGCATCGGTACCGGCCACTGTATAATTGTAGGTCCCTCAGCCTAAGTTGATGTGCAAGATTGAATAACCATCTGACGTGTTTCGTGACTACTCGCTGTGGAGTCTCGAGCGCCCCAAGGCTTTGTTTGTGCCAGGGCTGCCACGCCTGGATCGCGCTTTCCACATGAGGCCGTACGTAGGTGTTAAGCAGCTGCGTACAGACACAGAGGGAATAAGCTGCCCAAATGCCCTCCGCAGCATGCCAACATGTTGGTTCCCAGTCTTTGACGCCTTCTCAGATTGTTCTGAGTAGCCCAGATCAGCCTGGACTAGTACCCCAAGGTCGTGCTTCTCGGTGACTGCTTGCAGGACATGGTCTGTGATGTTCGGCTATTGGCTAGTGTGAACTACCTTACACTTCCATGAACTGAGCTGCAGCAGATTGTGGAGTGACCACCCATACGCTCTGTTCAGGTCTCGCTGAAGTGCATCGTGATCTCCTGGGTGGACGATCGTCCGATACATCTTAGCATCACACGGATTCAACAGATTATGTACATAAAAATGGCTTTCCAAAACTACCTTGCATATTGATAATTTAAACAGTTATCTGTTTTCGTCGAACCAGCGTACAAATCGATCGGAAAATCCGTTGGCTTTTCTTCCGATGTAGTAAAATGTGACATATCCTTATTTATTACCACTATTATCGTTACTCTTCTACCTACTGATATTGTGTATACTTTTGTATTTCATTGTTGGTCACTATTGGGTTAATCGCTTGAAGTGCCGGATTGAAGCTTCCAAGGTAATAAGCGCACCCATGTAAGGCCTATTTCCATGGACTAACGGACGAGTAACAAAATGGCTTGACGCAAAAAAACGATTGTTGGTATGGGGTAGGTGGTTTGAGTGTTCATACACATAAAAAACGGTTAAACAGATCATGGCTTACTTGTTATAAACCTCACACCAGTACACGACCAGATGTGGCATGGAAATACGGGTGAAACCTTTCTATTGACTACCCTGCATGGAAGCAGATCCATCGGAGACGGTTCCATAGATGGCCTTACTAATGCACTTGAACATTGGCACGTAACTTCATTTATTAGTATTGACAACTTCTCGATTTTTCTTAAAGATTCAGCCGATCGGACAACCCCCGAAATGGCTCGGGAGTGGAGACCTTTTACTTCAGAAGCATGGACGCGGTAAAGTCGCATTTTTCGTGAAGATTCATCGCAGTTCGACATACAGGAAAACGCTTTCTTTGATCTATGGCGGTTGTCTGCCTGAGTCGAACTGCGACGAATCTTCACAAAAACCCAATAAACCCCCTATTACTTATGAAGTCGCATTTCTAAACGTTGAATGAACGAGTGGCTTGTACTGCATACATTACCAAGTGCAACACAACAGGTGAAACGAGGAAGCGTCAGAGTAAAATGAGAGTACTTTCGTGCGATCAGCTGGGAGGCACACGTTTCATCTAACCAAAGAAGTATCAAGTACACTCAGCTGCACCCATCGTGCTGACAACCATTCGCAGGTTGAGCCATTTAGGTGCGCCAGATACTAAGTGGCAGTTTTGTGAAGCCGTCGGTTGATTAATTGGTAGTCTGCGATCTGAAGCATGAGGTCCTGAATAGTTAGCGTCGATATGAACGCCCTCTGAAGGGCGGATCAGTCAGGTGGACAGATTTTGCATGACTTCCTTTTCGGTCTGTACCAAGTTCATTTGACGCATATGACCGATATATTCAGTGTATTGTAGAAAGTAAATGGTCCCAAGCTTACCGAAGCAAAATATCGGAAGAATCATTTGCAAATATTCGCGGCTGCAACTCCAAATCAGCCGTAAACGGCCAAGGTGTACCTAGTCTTGATAGTATAAAACAGTCGGATCGAATGACAAATGCATACAATGTTCACCAAACTCCGGAGACATGCTTTGGTGGAAACACACTCAGTGCAAAATATGAGCTCCCAACATTGTCCGTGGGTAACATGCGTCAAATTTTCCGTTGACAAATACTAATGTAGATTGTGAAAACCTAGCGTACTCCGTGAATATGCTCTATCAGCTTCTATACACTGCATTTGCAAGAGTATTTTCATAAATATTTTTACTTTACACTCTCCGTCTCCACTTGAGGCCTATGTGCCACGGTTCTCTAGTCCAAAGTGGGGAATTGCAATTTCGTTGAGTGACACAAAGCCAGCGCCTTGGCGAGCTCACTGATAAAAAATATGCGCAACTGGTTTTTGGTAGAATGTGCGCGAGTAATGGGACATAACTCCTGTGACCAGTCCAACTATCATGCCATATTCGAAAATACAATTACAACCGTTCTTTGTTCCACGGTATGTCGCACAATTGACAAATATAGCGATCAGAAAACGTCGTATTACTGGGGTTGGAATGTTAGCCTTTCTGATGAGGCAAAATAAACCCCCAAGTTTCTGCCAAGCAATAAACAAATTCGAGTCAGTTTACCCCGACTCGTAGGTCCTGTTTTTGTAGCTAAGAATATGCTTACGCAATCTAGACTGTTTAATTATTAAGTAACTATTCCCAAAGGACGATGCTTTGTTACGACGATGCTCAACGGAAGTGTTCTTTGTTGAGAAGTAACAGACAAGAGAAATATACTTAACAATTGCTCAGTTTAGGGAGTATGTCGCATAGGATAGTATTCAGGGCGGCGCTGAATATCGAAGTTACAAAAATGCTATAGTTGTAATAGTTGATTGAAGATACGACGTCGATTAGTGTAAACGTTCAGGATCTGAAACCGTCAAACGAATTGTATGTAGTAGTGGTATTTCTTGGGTTTTTTAAAGCTTCGTCACAGTTAGACCCAGGCAGGCAGTCACGACACATACAGGAAAGCGATAGACGGCTGTTTCCTTCTATCGGGACTCGTCAGCAGTGCGCAGGCGCCGAACCCTGCGGGATTCGAACCCATGAACGTCTGGTGCTTTCCTGGATGTGCGGTGGCTGCCCTTTCGGGTCGAACTGCGACGAATCATCACAAAACCAAATGAATCGCCATAATACTCATAAATAATCAGCAGTCACCCTAGCAGATCACATGCCACCTCGATTGGCATCAGCTTGCAAAAGAAGTCTCTGTTCAGGTGGTCAGCCCTGTCCACTGCACGTTCACGACATGCTTGATAGTGGAGGATGAGCCGGACTATATTGCAACTAGATATCATGCATGGCAGTCCGTTGCCGTCATTCTTGGCTCAGTGCCATAAGCCACTGACTCGCAAGCGTAAGATCGTGGGTTCGAATCCGGCAGGATTCTGTGTTTGCGCGCTACCGACGAGTCTCGTTAGGATACAACAGCCATCTATTGCTTCCTGGATGTATGGTGGCTGCTTGTCCGGATCTGGCTGTGACGAATCTTCGCAAAAACCGTCGAACGAGTCACCTAGATCGCCAGTTGAATGGCGGCAGTGTTAACTAAACTTAAGGTTGAAAAGCATGTATTCAGTAGTGTTAACGATGAAGATAAAAATGTTGGGTGGCTTGTATGGAGGTTCCTGTTAGGGAGACACGTATTGCACATACACATTTTGGAAAATATGCATAGTTACCGATTTCGTTCTTCAGCTATCGATGTTAGCGACACTTGTTTAAACACATCATTGCGCTAATTTTAGTGGCTGCTTGTGGCCACTGTTTTTGCTCTCGGATAGCAATGCCACTTGGCTGCTAACACTGCCATTTCGTTCGTATTTGTCGCTCATTGGTTCATTTGTTGCTCACTCTTCATTGGCTTCATTTTGTTTGCATGCTTTTAACAATCTGGTTGGATGAAATGTCTTGCAATAGCTTCCCTTCAGACCATTCTTAAAACCATTGAACAAATACGGTTCAATGCATACGATTCTTTCAAGGCACATCTGTGGAGTTCTTCTTGCGGTCGTGAGGTGAAAGAGTCAGCTGCGGCAGAACAGTTTCACAATGCAAACGTCACCGCCCCGTAAACAATTTGGTGAGTCTCAGAAAAGTCGGTGTTATTTCCAGGTGCTCAGCTAATCGTTATACCGGGTACAACATCCAAAGCTTCCTGGCCTCCAAAGACACACTGGCCACCGGGTCTGTCAATACGGCTTTTGAGATTTCTTCTACACTGTTCGTACACCATATTTATATCAGTAGTGACATCTGAACTGTCTTTAATGCAATCAACATTAGTTTAGTAGACATGAATGGCGAATTTCCTAGGCGCCAGTTGTATTTTTAAGCGGGTATGACTTTGTATAATACCAGTGGTCTCTAACAAGTGTTCGACTTGAATACACACTAGTTTGTACAAAGCTTCCGGACTTGCGCGCGTTTTGTATACATCTGTTGTGTCATGAACGTCTGCCAAAAAGACTCGGATTAACGGTACAGTTGGTATAGACGGATTGGTTAATGGAGGGAAAAGAAAAGCCAGGATTTCGCCAACCTGTATACCGTGCTTTCATTTCCACTACGCAGCAGGTGCATAACAAAGTGTGATAGGAATATCATGTGCATACTAGAGGGCAGGAGTTCACTTGATCAGCTTCCTTTCGTTCGCACAGCCGGATTACCTGACTTTACTACGCGTCGTTTCAGGCACTACAGTACGACGATGATGACGTTTCCCGGATGGTGCGTGTAGGCTGACTTAGTGATCGTGTCAAGTGAAGCGGCGCGGTTTACGAGGCCCCGCGTGGCAGCGTGGACCAAGTGCAACAGCGCTCCTACTATGTATGGTAAGCGTCTGCTTCTGACATCTGGTTTCAAGTTGCATAGGCACAACCACCAATGCTGATCACTGACTACACTGCCACTATGTCACGCAGACTGCGCCGCAGTGGATTCAGTTCTTACTTACAGAGCTCATTTTGAGACCGTGGGGGTTAAGAACACTGGAATTAAATCAGTGGAAGAGACGTTTGGTGTGCCGACCACTATGAGGAAATCATCCAGAAACGGATGGAGACAAGCGCGTCGTCCCTAAATAGCTATTTCCAAGTATCCAATCCTATAATTTTCTCATCCTTACCATCCCCACTGTTGCTGCTGAGCATAGTTAGAAATGAGTTAGATGCATTCAGATAGTCATGGGTCGAGTCTAAAGCACCAGTTGAACGAAAGTTAAAGCAGTATTGGGAGATGAGAGTCAACCAAAAGGACAAATATTCGCCATGTTTATGGATTCATACCTACAATGAAAATTGCATGTCTTTACCCCTCTAAGTTGTGAGACCTCAGCTGAAGTCATATACTACCATGGACTAACAGAAATACATAGAATTGCTTATAAGGAAATGACAGTTATGAAGACAAATATTGAACTCTTGAGGTGTTCCCACAATCGAGTAGCTATCTCGTTACATGGCCCTGGTTTGTCCGTGAGGTTCATCCAGCCAGAGGGGTGAAATATCAATTCCACCAAACTAGAACTAGCTGCACTGATTCCGGCAGTCTGATGGGAGCGAATCTCTAATCGTTTGATTTTAATGCACAATTTAACATTCCAAGAAGTACATCTATGAATCCCAGCTAAGGCATAACTTACCGACGGACATTGAGAGCACATTTTCGTGCTTGCTTGTCTTGCAGACGAACATCTTTTTCGTTACAAAATCGTAGATTGCTTGGCTCATTCATAACCGATGTTGCCAGATTGGGGGATTCCGCAATCTCTTTTCGGTCAATTGATTGGAGTTCAGTGGAGGAGGATGCTCGGTTCTTGCTCATATCATCGATTTCCTGATCGGATTCGAAGACGCCACAATTACTTTGGTCATTCGATACCATGGATAGGGTCGTGGCGTAAAGCAGTAATTCATTCGACGTCCATCGAATGCTCAGACCAGAAGCGCTACCGTACATGGCCAGATATCCAGTAGCTGTATGCGTATCACCCAACTTGGAAAAAAAGATGAAAATTTATTCTTCGTGGTCGTCGTGGTCTTCATCGTTCGGATAAAAATTGGTTGGGTTACAACCATAAAAGCCAAACTAATTCTTTAACTTAAAATCCTGGTTATGACTGTCGATGGCGCAAAGTATAAACGATACGAGGATGAACTGTGCAGAATTTATCTGAAGAAGATGTCGGTTTCGTAGCCTCCCTCTACTGGTCATTTCATATTGCGCCACGCTACTGGACCGCCAGAAGCTGCAGGTTCTCACCACTTTTATTCGTAGAAAACACCACCAGATAGCAGGACGTAGGTTCCTGTCGAGTAGCATTATGTATACCACTTCAGACTGGAAATCCTGAGGGAATGTATTCTAAAAGCATCTTCCACAGTGATTTTATCGAAAGAGCACTGCATTTAATATAAAGATGGCTGAGACAACGGGTTGGAAGTAATGGTTCCAGCTCGAACTTGTATCCCACAAATGAGAAAAATATTCCACTTGGTGCACTTCAGTCGTTCACGGTAATTATTTTGTTCTATATGTGCAGCCTTTAATATAACTGGGTCATACTTTGATTATGATTGACTTACTGCTCCGCACTATCCATCCATACTTGTCTGCATTCGATCGTCTACGTGTTAGTGTCCCTCTAATGACTTCTACTCGCTTCAAACAATCACACCCTGTTGTGATCTCTTGCATCCAGTCCGCTATGGTCGATTGTACTAGAAGTTCCTAGCCGCATTCGATCAGGTGCGCAGGTCGACCAAATGTATTTATCTTCCACAACTTATGCAGATGCGCCGGCCTGATTTGCTATTGTATTGCCATACAGCATTTCGATTTTAATTGAAAAAATATATGTTATGGTTAGAATGACTTTGGTTTGAAATCCGCTAACGACATTCTGTGCAGCAGTGCGCCATATTCTCGGTAAACAAATATGATCATGAGTGGGAGACATTCGGCGTAAACGTGTGGGGGTTCTCCGCAGCAGCTTCTCAACAAAATAGTCATCCCCATACCCGGTAAAGCATCTCGAAACTCCCTTCTAATGAGAGTATCAGAGTATCGATCGTAACAGCTGCTGACTACTATGCCGTACATAGCTGCTGCTGTTGAAAGTCGCACCACCCAGAGTAGACGTTTGTAACTTCCTAGCTTCTATGGCAGGGGAGCATGTGTGCGCTATGTAGCATTTACCTTGTAATGTGTGGCGGTCAGTAGCCGTCCTCCATGAATCCGTATATTGAACAACAGTGATTTATGGCGGGGAAAAGCGATTGCTTAACAAATTCAATAGGCGAACAAGTGAGGATTATGAAACGAAAGGTAGAAAATGGGATGGAAAAAGGAGAAATTCGGGACTCATCAAGTTACTCACAGGCACACTGCTGTAGGTTTCATCATCGTTATTACGGAATGAGCTACTGAGCAGATACCGTTTGAGTTCTTTCGTTCTCTGAATGGAAAATACTATGTCACGTAATGCAAGTGGGGTTTCGTATCCTCAAGACGTTTTTGAGAAGCGTTAATGCTGCCACCAAAATGACGTGAGTTTGGAAAGCGTCCCAAGTCGACAAGCAACTCTCCGAAAGTCCTCTGTATGAGCCCAAGTTGCTGACTGTCCCTTTTCGATGTCTTTTCAGCCTGGTTCGAGCAGCCTAGGTCATAAAGCACGGTTACCTCGACGGCACTTTCCTGGGAAGCACGTTGCAACTGCTGGCCCCCAAGTCGATTTTCATAGGTACACTGATGGCGTATGCTCACGGCTTTGCACTTCGCCACGTTGAACTGGAGCGTTTTCGAATGACAACGTATAGGACCCGTCAAGACCACTCTGTAGTGCCGCGTGATCGTCTTGATGTCATGCCAGCCCTTGACATCTGCAACTAGTAAGAAGTCCGATTGGAGCACACTGGTGACATCATTAATTAAGACTAGGAAAAACGTGGTCCCAGTACCGATCCTTTGGGTACGCCACATTGGACTACAGTTGGGTCGGATATGGTGCTGCGGACTCTTACATTCATTTGACGTTGAACGAGGAAGTTGTTTATCCAACCTCGAATAGCGGCACCGATTCCATCACTTCGAAGCTTGTGAAGGAGAATGCGGTGGTCCAGGCGGTCGAACGCTTTAGAGAAGTCTAGATAGACGACGTTGGCCCCTACTGTGACATCGACTGATTCCGTCCAGCTTGTTCGGGCTAGCAACAAGTTTGTATTGCAGGACCGATTGCGGCGGAATCCGTGCTGCTGTGACACTAGGATGTTGTTGCGCTCCAGGTGTACTATGGGCGCCTCTGCGATAATGCTTTCCACTACTTTGGATACCACTGGGAGGGGAGTGATTGGATACCAGTTTGAGGGCTCCGTGCGAATTCGTACTCGTGTAAAAAGGAGTGGCTATTCTATATTTCAACATGCTCGGAACCTAAATTACATTAAGGTATGGCGCAAATAAGCGGGCTAATGGTTGCACGCTTATCATGGCGGCTGTCTTTAATGCCTTCGGCCTTATGTCGTCCGCACCAGGAGAGCTATGCTGCCCTGAATGATACGTGACTTAAACTTGGGGGCGGTGGAATCTGTGTCAAAAGTAGGTGAGCTGACGATTCATACTGGAAAGTGCGGATACATTGTTATCGAAGTGAATTGGCCGCCTCTTGTGTACATAGCGCCTGACCATCTGTTGCACGTAGAATTGGGATCCCACGCAGCACTCTCCGGCACTCGTAGACGTGCTGCATAGAATTTTAGGATTTATGCTGTTCCATCTCTAAATTTTGTTGGTGCTGTAGTTGGTCTTCGCGGAACATCTTGACGTAGTGGTTTCGTTGATTTATGTAGGCACCTTAGGTCTGCACGCACGGACAGGCCTTGAAGGCGCACCAGGCTGAATCGCTTATGGCCATGCATTTTCATGTCCGGTTCCTCAGGAAGAACATTGCTTGTTTCGTGTGAAACTTCGGCTTCTGACGCATTTGCTACTAGCCTGCTGAATTAGGTGACAAACTCCCTCCAGTCAGTTTCTTGAACGAGGTCGAACAGGATGTAATAATGAGTCACCGTTGGTCTCATTGATGTACTCCGCGTAGCACATATAACGAAAGAGCAGCATCGCGTGGCTGCTACGGCCAAGTTGTGCATCTATGTTCACGGTGTCGACTATTAGTTCCTCGTAAGCACAAGGTCCAAAACAGATGGTGTGTCACCTATCCTGAATCGCGTGGAGTGGTGACATGTTTGTACAGCGATACATCGGCGCTTACCTCTTGCAAGTCAGCCTTGAATTGTTCACTGGACGATGGTGGGACTTCGATTACGTTCAGATTGAGATTCCCCAGCAAAAGGACTTAACTGTGTGGCCGTGCTAGGACACGGCTCATAGTAGAAGCTAGGCGGTGATCCGTTTCCAAGATGGACATTGGAGGACAGTAAACTATTGCTAGTAAACACACATCACCACGTCTAAGGTGCAGACGGCAACAAACAAGATCAGCAACTTGCGTACCTAAATCATCGACGGTATGAACAAGCAGGTCAGATCGGTAATATAGTAGCACTCCACCACTTGTTGAGTCGTTCATTTCGTAGGATAGCTACCTTAGCATCGGTGTTCACAGTATTCATCCATATTTTAGTTATCATGCTTACGTTCTAAAGAGTAGAAGCCTTACGAGTACGAAGTTTCGGTTGACTTACTGAGAAAACCTTGTGCGCTGCGGTGCAGGCAGATGAGGAGCTTAGAGGTTAGATGCGTGTTCCCGGATGTGGCTTTCGGGCCTTCTGCCAGTCGCTTTTTGTTGTTGAAGTGCCGACACAACCCCAGGGTTATTTCGGGTTGGTGTGTAGAGCACTTATCAGATGGTCGCTAGCCCAGTACTCCTTCGGATGTCTGGGTGTTCTGACAGAGTCCCAATTTTGATCTGTCTGTCGACTGGGTTGCACGGGTGAACTTCTTGTTCAGTGCTACCATGTTTATTTGTGGCCGTGTGTTCATCGAGTTTATGTGCATTTCGGATGTCAGCATTATGCATATTTCATGTCACATTTCGATCACCTATTCTGCCATCAGACTGGAGTGTAACGTTACTTTCATCGCTCTGAGACTACTGCCTTTCTAGTTAGGTGAGAACGGTGATCTTCACGGATGAAGTGTCATTCATCCCAGTCATGCGCTCTGACCTCTAATTCGCTTGAAGTCTGAAACTCGGGGACACGGTGGACAAGAAACTATTTTACGTCCTTTTGCTTACGGAAGTCATCCGGAATTTGCATTTCCGACGTTCGCTTAAAGAAACATCATGAAGATTCGAACAGTGCATGGGGAGGTAGGGAGGCTAGTGGCTGACCAAAGAACTGCCTCTGCACCATTTCCTGACTGAAATGTTACTTGAAGTAACCGCGATTCATCCTAATATAAGGGGCTTGGGTGACGGACTGGGCGCATCATTCTGACCGGCTTAGCCTTGACCCATATCAGTTGACAATGAGAGTCCAACTGTTTCCAGTCGTCTAGCAGCTTGTCTTTTATGAAGTTTGCCCCGAATTCGGGCACACTAGAGCATGTAACAGTCAGTGAATTAGGATATTGTCTCATGTTCGCCTTTTTGAAGGGATGTATGGCTGTTTTCTTTGGTCGGACAACGTATGGCATCTTGGGTCCCGTGGTGGTATTGGCAGCGCTAACTGCCCTACTTGTGGTAGCAGGCGGGGCTACGATGGACGGTGTCTCTGTCAAGTGGGTAGCAACAATGGACGCGTATGTTGTCAGTCCTGCAACAGCATCCGAAATGGTGGTGCCTCTGATGAAATATGTGTCACGAACACAACTTCAGTAGCAGTCCCTAACATCGGGGTGGCTAACTGAATGGTCGCTTTTACGTTCGGCCTGGCCATTCTGTTATGAATTGGAATTTGATGTTGAGCAGCGAGTTTGTGAACACAGTTTCGTCTGGTGCTGGTGAGAGAACTCTCACGGCGGCTGCTTGCTCTTCAATCTGTACCAGTCTGTCGCACTTCTAGGTCAACTCGCCTATACATTTGACAAGTGGTATAGCTGAACATTCAATAAAGAACCAGACAAAATCAGCCGTATTATTAATTCTTTACACCACGCTGAGACGGAGACGAGCACATTTAAGATAGGATTTTCAATGACAGTTTGAGCATCTTGTTTCAACTTGCAGCTTTGTAACACAGCTTCTTACACTATAATTAACGTCCAATTCCGAAGACTAGCATACCGTGGGTAAGCAGTACGTGCCATTGTGATCTTCAATCCTGTGGGTGTAGCTGGTCGCAGTGTCTATACGAACAGGTTGAACCCAAACACTGTGGGTCCAATTTGTGCTGGTCTGACACACGGCGGATCATTGCTCTGGGGGTAAAAGAGGACCTAAACACATGGAGTCACGCCCGCAAGTTGACAGCTAGGTCACACGGTGACGGCAAAGCGAGGTCTTTAGGTCTTCGCTGTCGCGTCGGTAGAGTGTGGCTGTGTCCGTTCTGCACTCCCAAGGTGGTGTGGTAAAAGGATCTACGTAGCCTGGTCCTTTGACCGCAAAGCGGACTTGCCTGGATGCTGAGTGGGGTTTGTTGCGGGGAAACGCAGATTGCTCTGTGGATGCTCCACACAGGGTTGGACTAGAACGAGTGAGAGCTTGTTTGAACGCCGTTGCCAAACTCTATCGAGTGAAATCAAACTTGGTGACTTCAAGCAAGGGTAGGTCTGTGTGAAAATTTGGCCGGATTTTACAATTCCGGGTAAATGTCATCACGAAAATGGTATCACGAGGTGGTGCTTGTCAAATCAAGGCCAACAAGTAGAGATCCAGTGGTGCACCACAAGATACGGTAGAGGGACAGTGAAAAAACTAAGGCTGCACCAAAGTGGGGCCAACAAGCATGCTGAGTGCACTGCAGGTAGTATAGCTGCTGCTTGACGATGCAAGCCGTTAGTGGTTGTGTGTTTTGGTCCTGATGCAGTTGACGGATGCACAATATTGGGGATTCCTGATGGGACGAAACGGTCGTCTACTGCTTCCCCGGGCATATGGAGGATTATCTGATTTGAAATCTGCTGCGAGGAACCCCGGAGTAGTTAAGTATGTGTAAACTGAGATCTAGAACAGCGCTGGACGTCTGTTGGATGTGGCGATCACAAATAAGTCATTTCGACCAAGACGAGGGAAAACTAATTTTCAACTATCATTGAGATCATTGAGTCTCACTGATAGCGAATTTGTGTTTAACCTACGCCAACAATGGTTGAGTGACGACTGTTTAAATGTTGTGTCCGCCAAAGAGAAATGTGGAATACCGCGAATAACGCCGAGTAAAAGTGCCGCTACAGTGGAAAATGGATTGTGTTTTTAATGAGACTGAGTCATGTTAAAAATGTGCTTTATATACAAATGGAGCGAAGTGCTTGACATGGGAACACACAAGCGTGGGGTGAAGTAGCCGTTACCAAATGCGCGTGGTGGACTATGACAGGGCACAAAATTGGATAAATCAAATCTTCTCCGACTAGCATTCAGTTGTTTTCCCATTTGGTTTGGTCTCGTGCATAGACTACCTCACCCAAACGAAACAACCGCATAACCGAACCGGTCGGTTGGGACATTATGATTGACAGCTGGGCATTGAGCAGCTGAGGGAAACTTATTCACTCAGTGCAGCTAGGTAATACGCGGTTTGTCGAAGATTTTCAGTTTGATCAACCGAACACAATAGCAACCACCCCATAGCGCCCGGACTCAATTACCAATTTTTATTACCCTAAGTGAAGGTAGAGCGAGTGCAACAGTCCAGGCCATTAAACGATCAGCTGCTTGGCTGATGGTAATGTAAGCGCTGGGAACATGTTGAAAGCAACTACAAGGTCGCGGAAAGCGTAAAATTTTCACCGGATCTAGACTCATCACTGGTAAGACAGCAATCCAGCTACGAAATGAGTTCAGACAAACAACGATGCTCTTGAGTGGCACAACCATTTGCTCATTGACTTTATTTCATTCGTACCATCAGGGTAGTTCATGCTACTCCAAATAGAATAAAAGGCGGCTGGATCCTCAAGGCTTTACTCACTGTGACATTGTTTTTCGCATAGAGCAAATTATGCCTTCTCGGCTTGTACACTCCATCAAAACAGTCATCATCGCTGCCACAATTCGTGGAGGCCGCAGGTGAGCTGGAGACCCGTGACTGTACACAAAAGGTGGGTCGCTCAGTGGTGGGTAAAATGGAGACCTCTGTTCCGACATTGGCTTTGAGAAGCTGTTAACGTTAGAGGAAAATATAAGTTTTTCAGAGAAGAGCGTGGCAACAGGGGTGTAAGGATCATAATAAAAGCTGGAGCAAACAACTATAAAATAGATCGTTGTGAACACTGTTACATGTTATAAGAAGTTTTCGTTAGGGTAATAAACTAGTTGGTATCTGTCTTTAGCGGCCATGAGTTCGATCCCTAGTAGGGAAGCGGGGACTGCGCACCACTGACAAGCCCTAGCAGGGCGAAACGCGTCTGGTGCTTTTCCGGACTAGGCTGTGTTAGGTACCTTGTGCACTACTGGGATGAATACCATAAAATTACAACTAAACCTGCTACTTACAGGTGATATAAAATAAATAGCCTCTCCTTGTTTCAAATGCTATGGATATAGCGTCCAGCGAGAGGATGTCATCACCTCGCAGGCTAGCCGCTGTCAGCGACAGTGGAAGATAGGTGGTGCTATATCCCGTTAGCTTGCAAATTATGTAGCCAAGCCAATGTCCCCCATGGCTCAATGGCTTAACCTGCTGGCTAGTTGGCTTCTGCCTTTAGCGGTCATGGGTTCGATCCCCAGTAGGGGACCGAGGGAATGCGCACTACTGATGAGCCCCAACAGGGCGAAATGCGTCTGGTGATTTTACGCACTAGGCTGTAATATGTAGCTTGAGAAGTACTGGGATGAATACCTCAAAATAATAAACTAAGGGTACCGGGAATTTTGGAGAAAGGACTATCACGCCGGGGATGCCATGAGAAGCTTTCTTTATCCGTCGCAACGTAAAGGTAGTTCAGTAAATAGGCAACTTCGAATGTCAGAATACACTTCCACAGATATTGCTTCCTTGAAAGCAATGTGCATGCTTCAGTGAGAGTCAGCTTTTCTCTATTTCCTACCTAGGTTGAGGTAAAAATGTATTTCTTCCATAAGGTTCCGTCTTCGATAGTGTCTTTTGCGCAGGCCGATGAATGAGTGGCAAATACAGAGGTGCTCGAAGCTCCGTATCGGTTATCAAGCTACTTATCATTATATACTGAAGTTGCCACCTCGATTGGTGGTGAAACGCCTGCTATCCAATTGCTTAGCTCGGAGTATCAATCAAGACTTCAACCGCCAACCCGAGCTAGCGGTATTTAGACTCATTGCAACCCTCCTTTACGGAGAGTAGGCACAGCTGTAAGCCTCGCGGAAATACCAGCTCCGTTAGGTATCAATGCCAGCAAATGGGTAAAGCGAGTGGAAATTTTCACCCAGCCTCGAAGCTGGTTAGCAGCACAAAGGTGCAGTATTTGTACTAGCATATCGCATCATTATATAAATAGGGTGATAGTATTTCACTAGTGGAAAGATGGTCGCACCCCTACAGGTCGTCGCTCCAAGCGGCTTTCTAATTTACTAGAAACACAGGAAAGCAAGTGTGCATGGGTGTGGAATTTTTCACAACACTGGGACCAATTTTACGAATGCCTTGAAAAGTCGACCGTGCTTGCGTTGGTTTCACAGATGCAAAGGCGCACCACCACTGGGGGAATATCAGATACTGTGAATTCTAGCGTGACCTAAAGAAGCGCAACCTAATATGCAATTAGCACAGCTTGAGACTTACACGATAATGTGCTCAGCAAAGTTGAGGTATTTAATGGGCGGAGGGGAATTATGTACTAAAGCGTTGCCCTTCAGCCATCAGATCCGGAAGAATGTTATCTCGGCCTTAGTTGGGTAAAATCGATTCGGCTATTTTATACCACTCGATTTAGTTTGCCTTGCGATGCACCGCACTGGCCTGTGTCAATGCTGGCATGATAAGCAGGAAAGACAGGAAGGTATTCACAACTGGACTCTATAGTTGGACCTTCATCCAGTAACCAGCGTTCTACACTTAGAAATCCAACGTTTTGTTGGCCGAAATATGGTACATCAAAGCGTAATATGACTAATAAGAAGGTAATGTGTGAGTGTAACCTCTACGCATAGCTACGGAGTCACTGTCTCATTTATCGTGTTGTCTCTGGATGAAAGTGAACCACATCATCCTCATCGTCGGTAATCTCAGGAGTTTGATGAACAGAAGAGACATGTGAAATCTGCCAGAATGCGCTAATAAAGTTGATCCAGATTCCTTTGCTCACCAACGGTATGAGCGGTAAAATATTGACGTTCGGTGATCATACTTATTTGGAGAACACAAGTGTCCGAAAACCCCCCACGTTTGTTACACTTACCAATGGTGTGATACGTTGGCTGTCTTTCACACACAAAAATTTTCTCGGGAAGCACGAGTATACTATTCTGCTGCATCATCCGGGTGACACTGGATAGCACCATGTTCTAGACCAGTTCACGATAACAAAAAACACGATGCAATGAAAGTCATACCCCGAGACAATATGGCTGTGCAGGATGCCGCGGACGAAGCGTTAGAAAAAAGGAATAATGTAGAAGTCACTGTCTCTTAAGTCAGGCCATATTTCCGGGACATCCTACAAATATAAGGCACTGGAAATAAACTATTGGTCCTAAGGACTCAGGACAAGTGGACAGTCGAATAACAAAAGGCATCAGATTGGTAGGACTTCGCAGCTAATTACCATTTTCTCCGCATTTGTCATTAGGAAGAGGGATGAACGAGATTCGGTGGTGCAAGGCAGCGAATACAGACACGACTGTTCTAAGCGGTCAAAGCAATAAATTGTTAAACAAATTCTGCAGATGGAAGCTATCTTTACTATGTCCAGGCGAACATAACACTCGTGTTGTCAGGAATTCCCAAACCTCCTTAAACTCATGACTTATCGAACGTTTGAAAGTCTATTTCACTAGTTTGAATCTGTATTGTCAGTACGAATGACCGAAACATGGAGTCCAGATCGATGACAAAGCGGTCAGACGTATATACAAGCAGGGTATGTGGGTTGCAAACAACCAGAGCCCATGCAACGACCACACGAACTGTGTCTCTGCCACCAGTCGCCGCTTTAAGTTCAACCAGCTCATTGGGTTGATTAGTGTGAAAACCGTGTAGTGATGACATATTTCGTTGCTGTTCAAATAAGTAATGTTGAAGGAGAGATGCATTGTGAGGAAAAAGTTTATGTGGGGCACTATGTTAATTGAGTCATATTCGGTCCGTGTTTTCCGACAAATGGTCGAAACGGGAAGATAGCCGATAACGTGGGTATGCGCTTGCGTCTGTCCCGCTATTCACCCCGATTGATTGGTCGAATGGCTTTTCTCCACACCGTGTGAGCTACCTTCAGGACACTGGGCATGACCTTAGCAATCCTGCCCACCTGTTCACAATCTGATACACTTAATCAAAACAATCGATATATATCCTCCACCCGGTTACTGCGTCAAGTTACGCTTGTGCCGACTGCTACTGTTCTGATGGTAGTTAGTTTGGTGTTCCTAGCTGATTTTAGCCACGTCAAAATAATTATGACCTCAGTATTAGTATCCAGTGACCGGGGGGGGTAGTTAAGAAGCCATCATATCAGATAACCGGAACATTCGAAACGCAAACTTTTCTTTTCAGTCCAGATACCATGGCTGCATTGCTTACCCGAGGGTTGTGACTTGTAGTCAAGAGTGGATTTCGCCTCCGGGTTTGGTTGTAATAAGATAGAGTTCGGTGATGTGAAGTTGATGCTGCTATGAAGCGGCACCGTTGCAACAACTCGTCTGCTGGCAGTGCTGACCACGAAGGATCGTATACCGTTGGGGTGACGTAACTGAGGGCACAAGGTCCTTCTAAAAAAAGAGGGTCGGAGAAGGATACGTCATCACTTAGCTCAAGATCTGATACCGAAAAATGTACTTGTCACCGACTACCTCCCGGCTATACTTTCCATAGAACGCAAACATCGCGGCGTGAGGTACGTCAACGTGCTTTGGTTTTGGCTTCTATCTATAGAAGTGGGTAAAAGCATCGGCTAATCCAGCCAGTAAGAGAAGCATCGCATCTGATGAGATGCATCGGTAACCTTTATGTTCCCGTGCTATTAGAGTGTCAAAGCTAGGGTAGGCGAATGTTCAACGCAATTGTATGTGTGACTGTAGAAATGAATGACAACTGAAAGTGGGCGTCGGTCTAACTGCCTTTGAAAAACATGGGATGATGACAGCAAGGGAAGATGCCGTTAGAATGTGTCGTCTTTGTTCATTCCTACGGCGCCACCCCAGTACCGGTTTCATTCCACACTCACAACCATCATCCTGCCAAAATCAACTGCATCCGTAATAACGCAGCAACGTTAGAGGCTAGAGGTTTTGGTGACCTACTTCGTAAGCTGCTGAAGTGATGTCGTACTTCGGATAAAGTTCATCTGATCCGAACTTGGATGAAACGTCGTGCAATAACCGGGGTATTCGGTGTCAAAGTGGAGGTCACCATCAACTCGATCCCAACAGAAAGATCTAGAACAGTAGGCTTTTTTGAGCAGCCACATCGTGGAAATATTTAATATGCAACTGCAATTTAATTTTTATACTACCTGAATATTTGGTGCGTGGAAGACAGTGGGCACCCCCATGACACATAACCCGAGGAAATAGCTCACGGATTATAAAATATAAAGTCGGTCTAAAATGAAATAGAAAGTGTACTGCTATGTTTCCGGTTCAAACAATCATAATCATCATCAATACACGTTAGCTGAGGGTGAGAAACACACCCCAGCTAATGTGCACCAATACAAAAACATAAGACACTAAACATTACAGATAACAAAACGCAAAAAGCAAGCAATAAACTGCTAAATATCATATTACGTATTGGGTATGTAATCATGGTTGGCTCCTAGCCATATCAGCATGTGCATCCAAGCAAACGCGTACATCATCCTTGGGACTAAAGTCGCGACTCACCAACCGATGCCAACTTCAAAGTGAAGGACTTCATTCCTCTTGAAAAAGTCATCGCATGGCCTCCCCTCCACTTCTTCCATCCAGACACCCGGCGCAAACAACGTACAACGCTGGAGTCGGTGGGCTGGCATGCGGGACACATCGCCCAGGCATCGGAGCCTAGTGCGTGATTTGACAGTGCTTATCAGTTCACTAGCTCTCCCTACACAAAATACGTGACGCTGAACACGGTCATTGCTTATGCGGTGCTCCCACTAGACATAAGCCAAGCTACGAAGGTAGCGATAATCGAAAGTAACTAGCCCATTTAGGTTTGCCTATCTGATGGGCCAATTTTCACAACCGTACATAAGGGTTGAACGGACGGCTCCATTGTAGTCTCTGCCCTTCAGCGTGAAAGTGATGTCGCATCGACGCCACTGATAGCGGAGATTGGCAAAGGCACCACGATTTTTGCTATACGGTTCGCGACCTTATCTTCGATCCCATTGGCGCCAGTATAGCTGCCCAGGTACTTGAATTCCTGGATGACTTCTAGCTGATCACCACCAAGGGTCAGCGTAGAGGTGGGTCTCTGCTTATCTTGGACAAGGACTATGCATTTCGACGGAGCGAAGTATAGCCAGAAAGGATTGACAGCCAGTGTTAATCTATCCAGTGCTGCTTGGCACGTTTGTGAACTGTCACAGATAAATGCGATGTAGTCAGCATACTGTAAGTCAAAAAGTAGCTCACCAGCGAGCAGCTCCACACCTTGTAGGTTGTGACTAGAAAACGCTGTTCCACTGACTTCGTCAATGACGAAGTTAAAGAGAAAAAGTGACAGCGGGCATCCTTGTCTCACACCGCTAGAGATATAAAGCGGGCGGTGATAGTTTGTCATAAACCAGCACTCTACCCGAACTATGCGAATACAACGCTCTGATAATGTTTACCTAAGCTTTAGGCACACCTTTCTTCATTAGACAGTTCCAAAGGGCATACCGATCCACCGAATCGAAGCCACCTTTAATGTCTAGGACCACGAATACGGTGGGTTGTCAATAAACATGGCGGGACTTCAATAATTGACGTAAAGTAAAGATGTGGGCGATGTAGCCTCGATATTGAGGAAATCCAGCTTCCTCCTCACAAATAAGACTTTCACGAGCGTCACACAGTCTGCAGAGAACGACAGATGCAACAATTTAGTGGCAATTAAGATCAAATTAATTCCCCGATGACTGCTGCATTCGGAACGTAAGCTTTCCTTGAAAAGTGGGACTATAACGGAGCGGCTTCAGTCTGTTGGGACAGTCTCTTGCTCACAGAGCCTCACTAGTAAATTGTGAAAATCATCCGCTAGAGCAGGTCCCCGAATTTGAAGAGGGCTGGAGGAAGTCTATCTGTCTCTGTGGCCATATTTAATTTCAATAGGTTGGTCTCACGTTCGACTTCTGTGCGTAAGGGCAGGTCCAAGGGGACGGCTTAGGAGAAGGACACTGGTTGCTAGAATAAGAAGAGGATAACTTAGGCTGATTAAACTGCTTTTCAAAGTGTGTGCCTTAACACTCCAAGTGCTGTGGATCGGCTGTCCACTCTCGTCGCGTATTGTCTCGCTAACACCAAGTTTCATGTTGCCCGCTTCCCGTAGCAGACGGAATAACTTACGAGTTACCAGCGGCAGCGGCTGTTTCCTTCTCTGACGAAAGATGAGACCACCAGACTTCGCGGTCTCACTTCATGCTAGCACGGAGTTTCACCATGAGATGTTTGTGAGTCTCATTGTGTTCGCCTCCACCCGGAATACCTCGGCGAGTATCCATGAGTTCAAGAGATTGTGTAGAGATCCACTATTCAGGTTGACAATTTGATTTGCAAGCCTGAAGACATTCCCGCTTATAGCAAGGTCTGGAGAATTTGTGACCAGCAATCTTCAACTGTGTTCAGTGGGCGCTTGCTCAGCCCGGAGGCCAGCGTACTTGGATACACATTCGGACAACTTGGCTTCGTCAGTTGGATGGTGTCTATGCGCTCCCGGCGTTGTTGCGGACGTCCATCGAAAGGCATCTGCAGATCGCCACACACAAGCGCGCGATCGGACTCCAAGGTAGTTCACTAAATCGATCGACAGTTTTGGACACAAACTCTTCATTGGCAACTGATCGCGATGCGATCGATTGGCCTCTACTGCTGGTCTGAAGCCGCTGAACGCCAAGTCATTCTTCTGCGGGTGCTGTGTCGAAAATTAATGCTCACGAGAAATAGATGAGCATCTTCACACAAGTGTAGCAACCGCTCAAGGTTATCATTACGGAAGCCTACACCATGCTGGCCGCCCAGATGAAGCTCATCAGTGGACAATTTTCCAACTTGGGCGTTTAGATCACCAACAAACATCACAGTATCCGTAGTTTTACTCTAAATAAGGAGATCGTTAAGTTGGTGGTAGAACTCATCTTTCACCGAGTCAGTGCTACAGTTTGTGGGCAAGTATGCAACATTGCCAAGCGGACACCGTTTGTCCCCGCGTAATTTCAATGCCTGGAACGAGCCAGTCAGTCTGACGGCGCACATCCGGCTTTTGACTAGGATCCAATCGATCAGAGCAGCTCCAGCCCGGGGCTCAAAACACCGCCAACCCCGGCCTGACCGGTAGTTGAAGCTGCGTCATCACCAAACATGCGCAATGAGAATATGCCGCCAGTGTCGTAAGTGGGGGATCGCAGGGTAAGCACGGAGCTCAAATCTTGCAGGCGCGTTTCCCATAAGCAGTAAATATCGATCGATAGGGTCTCTAGTGTTCGGTCAAGCTCCGCATGTCGGCCAATCTGTAACAAAGTGCGCACCTTGAGGCATGTCAGGCTAAGCAAGGACGGATGGATGAATTGACGTCCACTTGGTTGAACGTGGACCTGTCGACTGGAGCGATGCCCTGAGATTGCGTGTAGTGTAAACCAAGAAGACAAGAGACTATTGAAGCAAATCGGGGGAGGACTAAGAGTTGGGGGTGAAAACAAGGGGAAAATCAAGTTGAAACGGGACGCTAAGGAGGAAGAAGCCCAAGAGGAGTAATAAGACGGGAAGGCTTGAGCAGTAGCATCCAAGCCCCTATCCACCCTGCTCGATGCAGCAGATAGGGCATCGCTGATTACTCTCTGCGACAGCCAAAGCATCAAGGAATTGTTTAGGGAGAGCTACGGTGTATTGCATTGGCAGGATACTGTCAGGTTGCCAATTAGAGTTCTTAACCAAAGCCGTTGGTTCAAACTCCTTACTACAAGGCAGCGGGGTTTTGGTACTAGGCTACAGAGAGTTTGTTGTATGGAATAAAGAATCACCCTCACTCCAACCCGCAACCTGGAGCGCCAAGCGACTGCGTTTGTCTGACCTCTAACCATTGACTAATCTGGTATGAGTGGTCCTGAAGATGCGAAAAGCAACACTCAGCATAGTTCGACGCATCATTGAGCCAGGCAAACCATCGCACCATGTTCAAGTCTGAGCTCGTATCAATGGGGTTGTAAGAAGCACCAATGGTCCATCTCTTCTTGAGTTCACTCAGCCTGACATATTGTCACGAGTGCAACAGAGTGGCTAGTCAGAACTTAGATCAAATCCTGAATTCGAATGCATTCCTACATTTTAATCAACATAACGCAACTCGGAGTGACTCGCCGCATGTGATTGAAATGTTAGTAGTCCAGAAAGTACATGCCTGTTCCAGGTTACAGATTACTGTAGTTCATTCCTTAAGTTCGTGAGATCTGCCAACACCAGACAGAACAGAGGGCGAGAGAGGGCTCACTACGGGATGTCGTTCGTGCCCCGTTCTCTTCTCATTCCCTCAAGCCAGTGTTGCTCCGTCTGCTCTTCCTCACTGCACCAGTTCCCGTTTCCGTCCG